GAGATCCTGCTCAGTTCTCTGTGCAAGGTGACCCTAAAACTCAAACACCCTTTGGTGAAGAGAGTCTGTGGATCCCAATATATGTGAGTGAGCGTGCACATTTCTCTGCTGTCTCCCTCAGGCAGCAAGAGGTGCATATGAACTTTCCAGAATCTGCTCTACTTATAGTCTAGGTTTAACAGTAACTGATTAAGCAAAGAGTGAACAAGCAAAATAGATGTCTTCTCATCACCTGCGATGGCTAGGCATTGTGTAAAGGGCAGCCATGTTACTAGCACACTGAGGTGTGGACCTGACACAACCTCTACCATCCAGATGAGGAAACTAAAATGCACCAACCAGGCAGTGACAACACCAGAATCTGAACCCAGGCAGACTCTTTGTGAGCTGCTTGGCCCTCAGCATGGCTAGAGGGAAGGCAAGAGAAGATGTACAACCAACCAACCAAGCAGGGAATACCAAGATCAGAGAGAGGGGCAGCATATGCAGATGACTGCCCAGTCTGGGACTGCCCCAGGAGCTAGCAGGAGGCCGTGCGTTTTCAGATGCAGGCTTCTCTCTGTCACTGTCCTCAGAGCTCAAATCACAACAGTCCATCATGTGCTTACCTTTATGGCTACCTTCTATAGCCCCTTGGGTCTGAGCCCTCAGCAGTATCTCTTTTCACATCCTGCCTGAGCCCCACTCCTGTCCGCTTAAAGGCACAATGGCCCTTTTCAAATCATAGTATCATCTCTGCTCAAAATCCCTAGTAGCTCCTGATATTGAGCACAGTACGAGCCAAAGTCTCAGCAATGGCCTCAGGGGACTAGGCAGCCACACTGCCCTCTTTGATGTTGTTCCAATGCAAAGGACAGACCTCAGCCCCAGGGCCTGGCACCTGTAGTTCTCTCTGACAGGAATGCACTTCCCTCAAAGAACTGCTAGCTACTTTCATGTCCTTGTTTAAGAGTCATCTCCCCAGTGATGCCTTTAGTGACTAAGCACCCAAGCTGCAGAGACAACAGCCTCTCCCAGTCTTCCTGCTACCCTCTCCGCTCTTTCTGCCAAGGTACTCATTAGATCCTACAAGCAGGGACTTTACATATTTGCCCCACTAGAACATAACTCCTGAAGGGCAGGACCTTCAGTCTGTTGTGTCCACTGCAGTATCATCAGAACCTAGGCACTTAGTAGTATCTTAGAGAATGAATGAGCGAGTGAATGAGTGAATGAATGAGACCTGGCTTCCTACCTTCAGGGTCCCGTGCACACCTGCCATATGCAAGGAAGCAGCATCGAATGGCTGACTCTCTCTTATCTCTGGCTGTCTGGAGGGTTTGACTACATCATGTGGATCTTCCCACAGGGCAAATAGGCACAGTTCTCCAAGACAGAAGGCCTAGAGCTGTTTATCTAATCTGCTTAATTTCCTCTAGCACTTTCCAGTTATGGTCCTCTGCCCCTGGGAATAAGTAGCGTTTGGCTGGTGTGGTGGGACGTGCATAGCAACCTGCACATCAGAGCAGCATTCACCTAAGCACTGGATCACTGTGCTTGGAAAAGCAGCCCATCCTGGGTTCCAGGGAAGTACTGCAAACTGCATTTGTCTAACATCCTCAATTTAAGTCTAATTCCTTAGCAGCCCATGCTGTTGGTTTTGGAGGTCAGTCAAAGGCTCTCAGGAAAAGTAACAAAGTTGAGTGTTCTAGGCCAAATAGAAGGCACAGGGATAAAAGGGCGCTTGGTACAGTAACAGGGTGCCAGAATAGACAGGGCGCATGGGCCTACAGTTCTCTAGTCTCAGTCTTGACTTGGTGGTGGGAGTGGCGAGGGGGGGGGGATCCCCAAACCTTCATTTTTCCATCTGAAACTGGCAGAGTAAGCTCTAATGTTCCAGGGTCCACCATACCTGACCTGGCCAGGATCACACACTCTAGGGGCATTGGCTTAGGTTCTTTGATGCCTTAACACATCAATTACTCTGAGGGACACTGAGCCACTCACCAGCCACACTGTGTGGCCATTTAGAGCAGCAATTCTCAAGCAGTGGGTCACAATCCCTTTGGAGTCTAACAACCCTTTCACAGGGATCACCTAAGACCATCAGAAAACACAGATATTTACAGTATGATTCATAACAGCAGCAGACTACAGTTATGAAGTAGCAATGGAAATAATTTTATGCTTGGAGGTTACCACAACACAAGGAACTATATTAAAAGGTCGTAGCAATGGGAAGGTTGGGAACTACTGCTCTAGAGGCTACTGTTAGCTCCAATCCCAGAATCATAACACTTACCCAGGAACACTTACCTTTTCATTTTCTATTGACTTTCTTTTTTATGTTGAAATAGGGTCTCCCTAAATTATTCGTGCCAGTCTTGAACTCATTCTGCTACCCAGGTAGACTTCGAACTCAAAATCCCTTTGTCTCTCAACCTTCCAAGTAGCCAGGTGACAAGTCTACACTACCAGGCTCAGCTACCCACTGGACAGCAACCCCCTACTCCCAAGCCCTTGGTTGGCTACTGAACTACTAACTGCATCTATTTACCTGGAGAAGCAGGAGAGCAGAGTGGGCAAAGGTATCAGAGAAGTTATACCTGGCAGGCAGCCTGGCCCTCCTGCATCTTTCCAACTTAGCATCCTTAGGCACATCAATCCCTTTAACTCAACTTTCTCATACAAAACCTAGAATACTACAAATATCTCCCTCACAAGGGGTTCTGTTTCTAAACATATGTGGTGGAGGGCCCAGGCTGGTCAGGAAAAGATATCACACATAACCCTTCTTCTACCCTTCCTTGGGTAGGAATCAATAATCCACCTCTACAACCCTATGATCATGAGATTATAGCCAATGCACAGCCATGACTACCAGCACTATGGGAAAACCCATCTTTGTACTCTGGCTATAATGACCCAGATACATGCTCTGGAGTAGGAGAGGTTAATGTAATAGATGATAAACATAAATAAGTACCTCATCCCTAGCTGAGTGACAGGGTGTATGGAGCTTCATTTCTGTGCACGGCTATGGACACAACACTTGGAACAGAGCCTGGCACACAGAAGACACACACGCTGGCTGGATCGCTAAGCACACAGTACATAGTGCACAGCATGAGATCTTCCTCAGCAGGTGCAAGGCAGACAGGGAAGAAGGTGGGAGCAGCTGACCACCTGCCAGCTTGAGTGTAGGAGAGGGGAGGGCACCATCTCTGACAAGTTCCATGTCTTGCAAAGCCACTCACCCTACTGATGACCCTGACCAGCAGAGTTCCTTGCCATGGCCTCAGTGTCCCCACATGTATAACTTCAGTGTTGACTATGCGAATTCCCAGGCCCCTTCTGGTCCTGAACTTAAGGAGCCACTGCTTTGGAGGCCACAGACTCATACACAAAGTCTACCACAAGGTTCCAGGAAAAGCTGTATCTAGAGCAATGCTGGCTATAAGCTTCACCACCAATGTTACCAAACAATGTTCCGAGGCCTGACCTGACCAACCAACCTGAGCTCTTCAGTTATCAACTTGACACACCCAGACTCACCAGAGGAGAGTCTTAAATGAGGAATTGTCTACATTGGTTTAGCCTATGGGTATATACCTGTGGGAGACTCTCTTAAGTTAATTATGTGGTAATAACCACCCCACTGTGGGTGGCACCATTCCCTAAGCTAGGGGTCCCAAATTGTATAAAAATGAGAAATCAAGATGAGCACAATAAGCAAGTGAGCATGCTCACATACCTTCATTTCCCCCTGCTCTTGACAAACCATGATGGACTACTTGTTTCAGAGTACTGCCACAATGGCTTCCCCACAATCAACTGCCTCATGGTTTGTGAGTGAAAACAAACCCCACTCCCCTCTAAGCTGTTTCTGTCAGGACGTTTTATCAAAGGAACATAAATTAAAAAAAAAAAAAAAAAAAACAAACCTCTCCTCCATTCCAGCCAACGCACCCTGTTCCTGCACCACTCCACTTACCCCTCTCTTGTACTGCACAAAATATATACCCAAACCCACAAGGTCACATGTGTTGAGGGGACCTCCCTCCTGATGTCAGGACCCCCACCCCTGGTCACTGTACAAAGGTTTGCTGAAACAAAGCTGAGTGCACTGCCCTTCAGCTCAAAGAACACACTTCCCAAGATTTTCAAGGAATACTCACTACATGGGTAAATCTCAATAAAAGTTCATTAGGTTTAAAAAACATGACATTATCATCCCTTCTCCCTCTCATTTCTTCCCCACCCAAGCAAGTGCATAAAAATGTCCCCACAGGAAGAAAAAAAGATGCTTGGCTTTGTTTCTTCCAGTGTTGTCATAGTAAATTTGGCCACAGAAAGAGCCTTCTTTAGTCCTGACACATTTGGGGGCCCAAAGGCAGACTTTTCCACGAGGCACTCAAAATATGACCCTCCAGCCTAGCAGATGACCCTGACTGTATGTGCCAGGGAATCATCTCGCTTCTCTGTCCTTTACTATCTTCTGCTTCCAAGGCCCCAGACAAAGGTCACATGGTCTCTCAAGCTTTGCCCAAGGCACAGTACTAGTATTAATCTTACCAAGTGCCAACTGGGCAACAGCAGGCCTTATGGATATACCTTTATGTCTTTCTCCCTTCTCTGACAGTACGATCCCAGTTCTCTGAGTGTCCCCTTCCGTCTCCTGCCAATTTCAAGGATGAGGATGGACCCCTCATCCAGCACATGGATAGCCCACTGCCTTGCTTTGGAGTGATGGGTTCAGAAAAAAGCCCAGGCCCATGTACATGGGTCCAGGAGTGCCATACTAAGTTGGGCTGGTACCCTAAAGTTGCCACTTATCTGCTGAGCTGCCCACTTGTGCAGCCACTGGCTATGTTCTCCGATGAGTCATTGTCACAGATGCCCACAGAGGGCGCATGGGAAATACTGCCCACCAGCTCATACCCTTGAAGATGTGTGAATGCTTCTCCTTCTAGTGGTCAAGACCATGGACAAGAAGGGGTGTGGTGTGGTGAGGGATGTACCTGCTAACCGTGCTTTTCCTTCCAGCTGCACTGGCTCCGTCAGCCTGCAAAAGAAACGCAGAACACCTCCATCAGCCAAGGCAGAAGACCCAGATTCTGGCAACCACTACTACCCTGCGCAGTGTCCACAGAACTCTGGCCTTCAGATGGGTAGTCGGCCCACAAACTGCCATTCTATCTCTCCAGGCAAGAGAAACTGTCCTCAGTGGCAGGAGGGAGTCAGGACAACTGCGCACCCCCATCTGCCTGGTCCCTTAAATCCAGGAGAGCACCCACTGCCAACACAGACCCCCACTGCGAACAACACGGAGCCAGTAACCGCACACCCTGGGGACTGGTGAGAAGTAAGTAACTAGTTAAATCTGAGATTGAATTGCTCTGCTTTTATTTTCAGCTGGGATTTCCAATAAAACAGTGGCTGCAGATTTATTCCTACCAACCGGAGGGGAAAAATCCCATTATGTTAAAATATTCTGTCCCCCAACCCTACGAGCAGAGGAAAGCATGAGAGGGCCAGCTCTTAATCTTTTTATTTGGGGGCAAGGGGGGTGGGGAGATAAAGCTGACCAAATGAAATTTCCACAAATCAGAAAATTCTGGTTCATATGGAGAGACCATGGCCCTGGGAGCTGCTTCTAGTCTTATGAGGACCAACTGACAGAGGCCTGAGGTCATGACTCTTAGTCCAGGGCTCAGGAGGACTTTGGCACAGAGACCAAAGGAGGCTACAGGAATGTGAACAGTGCCAAGACCCTCCTCCACCACTGGCTGAAGGCAATGTCCTTCTTGGTTATCTCCAAATACCTGAGGCCATAGTAATTCTAGAGCATGTTCAAAGTTCAAGAGCACATGCCCGTTATCCAGAATCCAGCCAAGCTGAGAGGCGCCCCACGACATGCCCCGCGTTTTCCAACACTGGCAGCAGGGTCTGTGGCATCACTACTACCTGATTTCTGTGATGAAACTCACACATAGCCACAATGCATGGATCCCTGAGTGATAACCACGCACTAACCTCTCCCCTACCACCACCCAAGTCAAGTTCTACTGCCCAAAGATCATGATCTTTTTGTTAGCAAGCTTTCTAAATTTCAGAGCTGTGGACGAGGGGCTGAGGATCTGAAGTAAAAACAGCAGCTAGCCTTTGATGTGTGCTTACAAACAGCTAAAAACTGGTGAAACCAGGAAGTCAGGTTTGATTTGAACAAACTATCACTGATATAAAAAACAAATAAATAAAAAGTTTCATCCCCAAAAGGCCATGTTCTAAGTTTCTCTTAAAAACAAACTAAGCCCAAACACCAGGTAATCCAGTAGTGACATTCAGTCTAATGGTGACATTCTGCTTCTCCACAGTCCCCAGTCCCCATTCCTCCCTCCTGTCTCAGACCTAGCACGTGCTTGGTTCTTGTGAGGGTCCTACAGGTCCCCCTCACCTACTTCTTGGTGTCAGTGTAGGGCATGGGTGCCTCCTCCCCTTTAATGCTCACAGTGGTTCCCACTCAGAGGCTCAAGGACTTTATACAAATTCTCACAGCTATGAATCCAGATCAAGGCCACTCCAAAAGCCACCCTTCTCAACCCTAGAATCCTTTGTCCCCTGCCAATGTTTGGGAAGAGCAAAATGACACCATGGAGCTCCCAATCAACACACAGAGACAATAAAAAAAGATGAAGGCAGGAAAGGTGCCATGAGCACATATGGTTTGGAAAGAATGGCAACCTGTGATGTCAGGAAAAAATGGATAGGAAAGGCCTGTCATTTCACAGAAGCAGAGAGGAACGCGATCAGCTACAGCTGCTTCCCCACATCCTGCATTCCTCAAACTTGATGCAAGGCTGCTTTTGTGGTCAGGCAGGTCCTACAAAGCAGGAGACCTTTGGCCCTGACAGTTTTAAGCAACTGTATAATCCCAAATAATCTCTTGCCTTTCAGACTGAATTCTGGGTGTGGGTTTATAACATTTCACATACACTTGTAATGTTGTCTTTTCTGTCACACCTTTTAAAAGATTTATTGTTTCTGTTTACGTGTGTGTGGTGGTGGTGGTGGTGGTGATGGTGTGTGTGTGTGTGTGTTTATCTATGTGTGTGTGTATGAGTTTATGTGTACCACAGGTATGGAGGTCAGAAGGTGTTGGACCCCCTGGAGCTGGAGTTGTAGGTAGTTGTGAGCTGCCCTATGTGGGTGCTGGGAACCAGACTCTGGTTTTCTACAAAAGCAGCATCTCTCCAACCCACTACAATTTTATGCCAGGTCGACTAGGTACAATACAGTAAATGTGCAGAAGGGAGGATGGATGCTCTGCTGGGGGCACAACTGACAGTTTCCTCTTATTTCTCTGTCACTGACTCTTAGCTTCATATAGATGGAGGTCACTCCTACCTGTTTTATAAAAATGAATGGCAAAGACAGAATGTTCCCAACTATTCAAACTATTATTGACACAAGTCCTTTTAGAGAACGTGGCACGGGGGGGGGGGGGCAGGTACCAGAGCTGCTAAAGGAAGAACTATCTAGACTGGGTAATATATATATTCCCATGTGGGAATTCTGAGGCAGAATGGATGATGACTGAGCAATGGATACAGTAAGGGACTTCACATAACATGCCTCTATCACAACACATGGAAAGCACAGCTCTTATGACTGGTATGAGATAAATAAGGTCATATATATTAAAATAGTTAGCATGGACTTGGCAGTAATAATCATTACCAGCCCCACTTGTGGAGGTCTAAGAAATCAAGGCTCGGGAAAGCAACACTGTCTGGACAAGCTGCAGAGTCAGGCTGGACTTCCAGTATCCCTTGCTCAAGACGGCATCTCAATAGGCTCAACACAGCATCTCAATAGGCTCAACCAGACCACCACAACCCCAAGGCTATCTCCAATGGCCTAGGTGACACCCAATTACTGTTTAACATCAAGTCTAGGGAGGACCCAAATTGTAACAGCTCATGTTACAGATAATGTGACTGCTGTGGTCATGTGACATCCTCTACTAAAAGTCTACATGCTCCAAAAGGATGGAGCTTCTCACCCTGGCTTCATCTGTGTCTTACTCTGAACCTCAGGCCAACTTCCTCTAGACCTGTGGAGAGCCACAGGTCAAAGTGGGGGTAGGCCCAGAGGGCCAAATCAGATCCCTCCCCCTCCCTGCCACCTCTACCACTCTATGTTGAGTGGACCCAACCTCTATGACCAAGGAGATATGGAGAGGATGGGTCCGTGGGGAACCCTCCTCATTCTTGCTGGCTGGGAGTAGGGATAGCCCTCCAGCTGCTATCTGGGACCCCATCTTCTTCCACAGCTCCATCCACTTCTTATACCCCAGATTCTCCCCAGCACCTGCGCAAGGCTATTTTTGGTTTCCTTCCTCCGTTTCCTTCCCCCCCAAATGCATGTAAGTTGTTCTTTTCCATTCTCTTATTAAGGGTTTTCTTGGAAAGAAAATATTATTCCAAACCCAGAAATTTTATTTCTAAATTTGTGCAAATGCAAGTTGTAAGACATTAGCTGCATTTCACATTTTGTGCAAATGGCAGAAATAGGCAATCCGTGTGCTACGGGGATGGGGGCTGGCCAACGATTTCGATAAAATAAACCCTTTTTTAATTTAAATGCTAATGCACTGAATTAAAATTTAATAACTGAGGAAATTGAAAAGCCGAGCAGGAATATTGGAAATAAATCCAAGCAGAAACAGCTGAAATTAAAAATTCTAGAGAGTGGGAGGACAGCAGCTAAGCTGTCTTATATGATTACATTTTTTTTTTTTTTTTTTCAGAATGAAGAAAAAAAATCCTATCTCTCGCTGGCTCTAGGGCAGTAAATCCACAGCACTGTGATTTATTGCTCAATTTTCCTGGGGGAAAAAGGCTTTCTTTCATGCTGAAATATTTCATAAATTTCAAGCCAGCATAAATTCTTAATTTAAAAGTTATGGAGGTCACATTTAGTGCACGGGTACAATTCCAAAATCTTAAAGGCACAGTAACAAAAAAAAAAAAAAAAAAAAAGAGAGAGAGAGAGAGAGAGATCGAACATGAGCATTCTCTTCTCCTTTTTTTTTTTTTTTTTTTTTTTTTTTTTTCCAATTTGGTTTTAATTCACAAGTTGAGATTTCATTCTTAAAGATTCTTCCTGGATGGACAAAACCAGCATGTGGAGAACTGGGTTTGGAAATCAGCTGTAAAAGATAAAGAGATAAAGATTTAATTCAGTTATGAAAAAGGTGTTTTTTTCTTTCTCTTTTTTTTCTTTTTGTAAAGCCACTTGAGGAATTTCTGGTAAAAATTTCCTCCTTTCCCTGGCTGGGAAAGGGTGGGGGAGGGGGAGGGGTGGCCAATGTAATTGCTTCTCTTAGATCTCCAATCTTTTGTGCACTGTGATATATTCATTTGTTATACAGCTGTTCAGTGGTGGAAAGAATGCTAGGGCGCCCATAATTCTAAGCAAATCAATCAAAAATTAATGATTTGTCATGCTTGCACAATGGAGGAAAAACAGCTCCTTGGGTCCTGGCTGCCTGATCTGCAAGAATGAAACGCCTTTCTGCGATACTAGAGCAGAGACAGAGGCTGAGGAGGTACCACAAATGTGATCCCCCACCTCCGTGAAGGTGAAGGGGCCACCATCTTGAAGTGGGCATTCCAAGATGGCGCCAGGACAGGACCCTGCATGGTGCATTTCCGTGGTGGTATAATTAGTTTCTTGGTTTTGCCATTCCCCCATGGCAACTTGAAAACCACTTCCTTTCTGGAGGACCGGCTGGCTCCCCTCCCCCAACAAGATGTAATTTATCCCTGTGCATTATTTTCCCAGCACTGCCAAGCCACCACCACCAGAATCTTCCACCAACTTCACGGGGCAGGGGCCACCCTTCTTGGAGTGTCTGATGTACCCCAGACTTCTCCCAGGCAAAGACCATATGCCACACATGGCCATGTCTGCAGCACCCAGGTCAGGGAAAACACACAATACTGTTGGATTTGTTAACAGGGATCACTGCTCAGAAAACTCCATTACAAGGTTGTCCTG